AAGAATTTAAAACCGGTCGATCACCGGCCGGTTTGAAAATATTTCTAGACCGGCAAAAGATCGGTGGAGACCGGCCGGTCTAAACTTTTACACCGGACCGGACCGGCACCCGCCCGGGCCGGCCGGTGACCGGCCGGTCTGCCGGCCCGGTTCCAACTCTGAGGTAGCCCGACAAACTGAAATAGTTTGGAAGTCTGGTTGTATGCTGCATCAAATTCTCGTAAAATTATAAAACCTTTTCTTGTGTTCAGTAAACTTCTGAAAGTCGTATAACTTAATATATTAACCTCAACTTCTCAATGTTTTTATAGAAATTTTTAAATTATATACCATTCAATATAGTATTCAAAACTGAAGAAATAGAATAGATTGAAGAGCCTAATAAAGCCTAATAAAAGTAACAAGATAGTTTTTTTCCTATTCAAAAGTCTGCTTTAACTATCTCAAAATAATGATAGTAACAAAATTCTTTTTTTATTTTTAGTAATATAATTAAGCAAATAAAAACAATAATAACAATAAGGACATAATTATAAACGGCCGAAAATACTTTTTGTGTTCTATAATAATCATCTACGGTCATTGTTTGATTCCATATTTGTTTCAATTGTTTAATATTGCATTGCAGAATAGACAACAATTGATATAGTCTAAGTCTTGAATAATGTTGATCACATTTAAATGAAATTATACCCCATCCGATGTTGTGACGTTCAATTTTTAATTGTTCAGCAATTATTCCGGTTATGTAAACGTCATCAATAAATAATGCAGGCAAATTGGAATTATTTGTTGCTGCCTCATATATTTCGTGTACATATTTCATTTCAAAGATACCTAGACCGCCAGCTAAAAATGCCGGATAAAGATCTTGTGGATAGTCGTTGAGTGATACAGCCCATTTTCCCTCTCGATGTGGTTTCTCAGCACGATATAAATTACCTGTTATACCATGATACAGTTTATTTAAACAATTTGATTTAAGACGACCAATATTTATCCAAGAATCATCATCAACAATAACTATAAAACGTAAATACAGCAGCTGGTTCATTTAGGTTCCTCGATATTGAAACTACATATCTTGATCAAATTAAGTTCGGGGGAGGGTATTAAAAGTATTGAAACATGAATTTATTTTTGTTCATACAGAATACCGTAAACACTAAAGATCGGCACGGGCCGCGCTCCGGCCTCAAATTTTCTTTGCCGGGTCGGATCGGACCGAGGACTTCTCTTTCTTTCGGAGAGCATATGATTAAATACATCAATAAAACCATTATATTTGGTATAAACATGTTCGTGATGAATATTATCGCGTTAAAGATGCAAGAGACTGTAAACAATTGTAGAAGGTCAAGTCTAACTCAGGCCTCTACGTTTTGTCCTGGGCTAGGACGGACTCGGATCAGAAATTTCTCAATATGCTCTCAAAATTAGCAGAAAACGAGGTAGAAAAGGTACAGATCGAAAACAGGGGTTAAAACTAATCATTGTGATGAACGTCACTCAAAAGATTTGTGCACTTCCTCCGTCCGTCCGCACCGCAGATCGACTTTTCTGATACAACCTTGAAAACAAACAATAAACAATCCGGTATCTGAAAAACGTAGGATAAAGCCCACCCCACTAAAGACACAACCAAATAATGCAACAACACACAAACCCTCCAAAAAAAACCAAATCGCACTTTGATTGGATCAAATAGTCAAAAAAAACACATGGGTTAAACATGGAAAAACCGAAAGCACGACGCCGATCACTGAAGATCGCAACGTACGAAGTTGACGTCAGCAGGTAAAATACGTGAAATTTAATTTCTGACATTTTTTATTCTACATTCGCACATCTAGGATGTCTCCCAGCTGAGAAAAATACGCTAACTTAAAGCAAGTGTCTCTCCTGCGGACGGACTGACATTTCGTTCATATGATCTTAGATTTTCAGTCAAGGGAATAATTAATATCGCAAACTACTCAAGTTTTATAAAAAGAAAACTTTTTTCAGTGTTGTGTTTTGGGCTCCTCAAAAACGACATTACAAGTTTGGAAATCTAACCGTGTTATTGTACCAATCATACTTGTAGGCTTCAAAATGCAACGGATCAACCGTCTGATAGTGATGTGACTCCTACTAAAAAGACTCGCTGATTGGAGCTAATGTGCGAGTAAAACAAAATTTTGTTCACCATCAAAATTGAAACTATGATTCCCATCATATATTGATCAAGACGGCTGAACTAGCGCAAGCATCAGCTGGTATTTGTGTTTCCATCGCTTGTCAAGAGTGTCATGAAGGATTTGGAAAGTGCTTTAACTGTTGTCACCGGCAAAAATCTTGTTTACAGTGTGTGGAAGACAGACGAAGGTTGCTTCATGTTTTTTAGTCAGACAACAAAACGTTTTGATCTTTAAGATCTTCAGTCTTTGTTCCTTTCACAGAACTTAGATCTGTGGAAAATATATTTCCCTATCTTATATTATTAAGGTTTAGAAAGGTGAATAAAATAATAAATATTCAAAACTTACCTAGATAGTTAATTTCTTTTGTATTACATCGTGTTTTGATCCAGTATAATATTGATAATGTTTTCAATGTTAAATTATAATAATTGTCAATAAATGAGGCTTGTATTATATCCTGATACAACTGATTTTCATTTTCTATTTTCAATTGTTGTTGTTTAAGATTTACTATTTTAGCCACCATAAAATAGACAACAAGTTGTTCTTGTTTAGCCTGTTTTATCCAGGTATCACGTAAAATGTGTCGTTGTTCAAAATTAGTGGCCAACGATTTAACAATTATCACTAACGGTGATGTAGTGGTTGAACTATTTGAATTAAAACAGGATGATTGGTTATGATCAGTCAGAAACATTGCTGTCAGTTCAATTTCTGATTTATCATGCATTTTATGACAATTTATTATTGTGATTGTGAGGAGAACAATAACTGTTACTAAATATAGTTGTATATTGATGATACACATTCGTAGAAAAAGGAAATAGTCTCGTGGACCGATGCAACATGAGATGGTTACACTTCAGTGCTTCAATAAACGATGATAACGACAAATTTTGCTTGAATGTTAACGTTGGACGACTCAGCGATGCATATAAACGCTACTGCTCTCTAAAAAAAAAGAAGAGTACAGACGGAACCCTTTTAAGGGTGCTTTCCTTGGGTCTCACACCGATCCCCCAAAAAGGTTTTGTCCAAACAAGGTTCAGTATGATACCATTTATTATTTTTCGAAAAAAGGGTTCAAGATTAAATTTTTTGAATAAAAGATTCTTTTTTCCTTTTCTCGCTTAATCGACAGAAAGAAAAAAAGCTAATATGTACAGAATGGAAGAAATTTTCGTTTTCTAGTATTAGCTGCACAATCTAACTTCTATAAAACTGAATTATATCTTTGCTTTAAAGAATGACATAAAGAAAAACAAATTTTATCTTTCAGTCTAAATGTTTATGTACTCTTCTGCCTCAAGAAAATATCACTTCATTAGGGCTTTAATGGAAAATCCCTCAACATAGCGAGTTAAATAGAAGCTAATCAGAGAGTATCAATTTCTACTTTTTATCTTAACTTAAAGAAAAAATGTTCAACATCGTGCCGAGCTATTTTTCAAAACTAGGTCCGGTCTGACTTTTGAGATATAGAACCATTAATGTCATTGCTTGGCTTCAATTGTTGTTTTTCATTGATTAGTTAGATTAGTTTTAAGTGGAATTTATTTCACTACCGTGTCCTTTTAGCTTTCTCTTCAGGCCATGGTAGTCGGAGATGTATCATCAAGTTTTGCTTTTACCCAAATCGTGCTGCGATGTAAACATAGTGTATGACATGACAAAAAAGCAAAAAAGAGTCGAAAAAAACGAGTATTTAATACTCTTTGAAAACAATTGTACGCGTAGAACGTAGACGTGGACTATATTCTACGCATATTTTTCTGCACGCTTAGATATCGATGAATATCGTTCTCTTTTGTCTCTTTTTCTTCCATTTTTCCGAAAGGAGAAAACCTGATATATGTACACAATACAAGCATTTTCTTTTTCGACTGTCAGTTAATTACAAAATACAATATAAAGTTGAACTATGTTCTATATGAAATCTATGCAAGAACAATTTTATACGAAAAAGTCAGATAATCTTCAGTTCTTTCGCAAGTGAAAGCGGTGATTCTGTGTATGAATCTCAAATATAAACACAATATAAACTCAAAGAAAGAACCAAGAGCTATCCTAGTTAGCGGCGGAACCAGGATTTTGTGCTAGGCAGGGCTCAGCTCATCATTTTCCTGCAGTTCGGTCTGAAGTAGTGCTAATAAATTTAAGTTGAATTTCAGGAAAAATTTTAAAAAACTGTCTAGCCGAGGCTCAGAGCTTCCTAGCAGGGCTCAGTCCAGTCTAGTCCTGTTGGTGGCTCCGCCACTAATCCCAGTCTTGGTTCTTCCTCTCTTTATGATGTTCCCAACTGCATTGAAAACTGTATTGAATACATAACATAGTTCAGCTTTATGTTGTACTTTGTAATTAACTGACAATTGAAAAAGAAAATTCTTCTATTCTGTACATATAGCAGATTTTCTCCTTTCGGAAAAAGACTGAAAATAAAACAATATTCATCGATATCTTCGCGTGCAGAAAAACATGCGTAGAATATCGTCTACGTGTCTGCATTGATGCGGATGTATAATTTTGTTCTACAACAGTGAAAACAAAAAGTCAGTGGAATAAAAAAACCTCTATAAAATAACTGGTTAGTTCGTTAAACTATCAAAAAAAGTAAAACATGTTATGTAACTTAATACTGTAGCAACGTTCGATGTTATAAAAATAACTCCGATTACAATGAGTGTGAGAAGTGAACAAAACGAACTCTTTTTGTATAGTAATTTTATAAAAACAAAATAATTATCTCGATCACCGTGAGAATGAACGGAGCGAAGTAGCTGATGCAAACTAAATAAATAAACAAAAATTTTTTTGTTTTCATTAAAAAGGCAGCTAATAACATGCTTCATATCATCGACAGAAAAATAAAGTTCATTTAGAGTTGTGAAAAGTGCTTTTTCGTACTCAGCACACTCGATAACCCAATAGATTTTGTATTTTTGACCAGGAGTATCGTCAAAAGTTTAAGAAAATTTTTAAAACTAATAATATTTTTCGATGAAAACTTTTTTGCGCCATTTTGTTTGAAAAATTTTCCTAAATTTTTGATAGTACCCCTTGCCAAAACTAGAAAATCTATTGAGTTATCGAGTATGCTGAATACGAAAAAGCATTTTTCCACAACACCAAATGAACTTTATTTGATTTAAGGTTGATTTATTTTAAGTGAGTTCAATCGTATAGAAATAAAAACTTTATTGTATTCTATATGGTGATATGCGGCGATGTCGCTGGTACAGGAGGGAGAAAAGATCATATGATGAAATGGTTTGGTTAAAATAAGATGGTTTCACACCGAACCATTTTAAATTGATGGATCTCTTTTTTTCTGAAATATCAGACTATTTCACCCGAAATGGATCAGTCGCCGCGATGGTATCTTTGAGGTTCTATCGCGCTTTGATCGAACTATGAAAACGTTCCGTCTCTTGGATGGAACCCATGAAGATTTTGTCTGAACTCTTTATTTTTTAGAAAGTAGTGGTAGAAGTCTACAAAAGAACAGTACAACTATAGTTTCATTCAATCTACTTTAAACAGTGTCTAAAACATATGAAAAACTGTTGCTGGTACTTTGTAAAAAAAAAAAGCTGTTGCTTTTTTTCATGTCTCAAACAAACGTTGACGGTACCTAGTCCTAGTTCGTCGAGTTTTGAGAAATTTGGTCCCGATACCATAGCTCCGAAATTTTTTGATTATCGGGCTATCTTTTTCGTTTGACTAAAAGCTGTTTTAGAAAACCCAGGTTTAAACTAGTTTTGGATAAAAATATTTTATTTTCATATTTTATAAAAGAATTCTACAATAATTGAAAACCTGCTTTGATGATAAGATATTTTCTCATGTGATTATTTTAATCTTAACTTGAGTATTTATTTTGGCAGTTGCAGACGCCTTACACAGTGGGCATCGAGGCAGAAACTAGGTGAAAAATCGAAGTTGGTCCTAATTCAAATACAAATAGTAGAAAATGTAGCCCTTTCAAAGGGCTATCGGATGGTATATAAATGTCTATTTTGAAAATGGTTCCTACGACGAGAAATCACGGTACACAAAACCGATTACGGATATCGTTATTACACACGAAATAAAGATTCTTTTATGGAGGTTTTATGGATTTTCGCGTATTTCACGTTTTTCTCTCTCACCAAAGCACTTTTTCGTACAAATAATGCCCTATTCGGAATCACCGTGAAAAAGTGCGTCGAATGATGTATAGCTTTTTAATTTTTCTGCAGAAATATTTTCGATCAAATTGAATTATAGACTTGAAAGCTTGTCCGCAGCAAATTTTGCTTCGGAATTTGGATATTTATTTTAGCAATAGTATACAAGTCTATAAACGCATTTTTTATAGGTTTTCGAATATGGTCTTTCGAATAGTGAGGTTCTCGAAATGCAAAAATATTTTTTATGGGTTTTCCAGAGATCCTGTCTCCAGAAAACCCAGAAGGAATTACTTTTGAGTACTGAAAATCTCATCATTAGAAAGAGCATATTTGAAAACCTATAGAAGAACGTGTTTATAGGCTTTCATACCACTCCTACAGCATATGTCCGCCTGCTCTATAGAAAAATGCCCACTGTGCCTTAGGAGGTTTTGCAGAAAACTCCTAGAAAACCACGGCTTATTGAGCTATTATATCTGTAACCTTATGCGTTTGAACTACATAGTTTAGTAAGTCAGAGCAAAGGACAGAAAAATATTCACTTTTTAACTACTGTCATCAAAATCTTCAGAAAACTTTAGTTCTTCAAAAAAAGAAAGTGTCAAAATTCCGACAAAAAATATATCTTTTTTATCAAAACAGGTTTGTAGAGAGAGAAAACTGTGCTCTATTTGATGTGCGTGTTGAATAAAAATTTCTATTATCATACAATTGTTAATAAAGCTATTTCTGAAAGTGCTATGAAAGTTATTACACAGAACCCACATTATCGCCTTGTTATCAACTGTTCTTACCTTTGCGCTGTTTTCAATGCAACAGAATCAAGTGTTCTGTTCTCAGTGTTTGCTTTCAAATAAATTACTAATCCGTTGCTATTTTATAAAACTATAAAGTTACACATACTGATAAGAACAAGTAAAAAAGAGCCTTTGATAAATATTTGACATACATACGTTAAAAAGAGAAAAGGCATGTTTATCATGCAGCAAAACTTTAGAAATCAATGGGCCAACATCTAGTTCAGATTTTTCTGCTCAAATATTTTGGATAGAAATTGTAAATATGAATGAATGTTTGTTGTATCATGTTACAAAGCATGTAATGAGTTGGACTCGAGATCGTAATGATAGCAATCGGAAGTTCGTGGTGGAAAAATATGATGATAGAAAAGAGAAGCAAAAAATATTCGTGTAAATGCGAATCAATATCGAATTGCTTGTTATGATTTTATTAGACACTATTTGTATGTTGATAATGATAACAAGATAAGATTAAAAGAATACGACAGAAGAAACGTCACAAAACATTGTTTTAGATTACATTCGATAAATTTATAAATGATAAATTTCGTTACTTACATGAATCGATAATTCAAATAAAAACAATGTTCTTTCACCCAAAAAAAGATACGATTATTCTTACTTGAATTGGTCTGCTAATTTCAAATGTGAAGAAACCATAGGTTGGACAACACCGTCATGTCTCGAGGACATCCAGCACTCAGAACATATTGGCAAGCATGAGAGCTTCTCTCTTGTTTTATTTTTATCTGTTTTATCGTATTTTCGATTAAAATTTTATTAAAAAACAGACTAGATGGATATTTATCAAAGACAAAATTTTCAATCTAAAATTTTTTAAACTGCATATTCTTGTTCAGAATGTTATGTGCTTTCGTTTAAGATGAATCTTGTAGTTTACAGAAAACGTCACTGTAATGCGGGTCGAAGCGCCATGGAATTACTCGCCATGCACCTCACTATCAGATTTGGTTCAACTAAAACTTCACAGACTAAGTGACTTTGTAGTGAGAAGTAGTGTCAACTAGGAGCTATTGGCACTCCCTTTGCTGGAAAAAGATGAAAAATAGAACGAACGTTTCCCTGAAAAGATATGATTTCTAGCGTAAATTATTTCCACTCTTGGACACCTTATAGCTTTGATAGTCCTGTATTGTCATTGATTCCAGTTTAATTGTAATGGTTTCATATCGTTTTTAAAGCGCAATATTTCTCTTATCAAAATCTAAATTTAATTATCTTTGGAAAAGAGCAAACAAGATAGTTAACTGATCGATAGTCTGACATTTCCGTGCATCTGCTGTAGTGATACTAATGCATTTTCAAGATTGAAAGCTGTGCCACAAATTCATTAGATGAAATTGTCAAATTCAAGGAGAAGACTCGAAAGTTCTTATTGCAAAGATCAAATTTCTGTGATGGTTACTAAGATATTCGCTGAGGACGCCACTTTAATGCTGTATTTTTGCAGTGTAGTGGCACTCAGTGCCAGTTCGAAAAAATGATTAACTGTAAAATTAATAATTGTAGAGTGTCAAGTAAATCACGAGCATGACCAACATGGACCAAAGCGCTCGCTTCTACACATTGTTCATGTCCATTTTCTGATTCCACGTAGTCGACAGCTTACATCATATTGTTTCCAT